TTTCTTATTCACTCTATTTCAGCCATGCTGCTCTCCTTTCTGATTCCAGAACAAATTAAGTTCTTCCTGGTTCTGGTACCTTTTCGATGGAGCTGATCTGTCTGTTTGGGGTACTTCTCGCAGACCATTTGCAGAGCTGTCTTTTTAATTTTTTGTGGGTTAAGTGTCATGAGTGTCCCTGACCACCCACTCTGAAGTACCAACCTGCCTAGCTTTAGTCTAGTATATTTCCTGCATAGTTTATTTGAGTTGGAAATTCTATTTATTTGCTTTTATTTCCATGTGATTTTCCTTCCCCAATACCCAACTATAAAGTACTCTACCCTTCATTTCATATCCCAGATGCCTAGTACAATACTTGGCTCAGAGTGGATACTAAATAAGAATTTGTCGACTGACAGACTGAATATATGCCTGTTATATGCAAACTCAAGCCATGATACAGGTACCATAGAAACACAGATTTGTAAGTATTTGTCCATCAGGAAAGCCTCATAGCCAAGCAACTGACTACAATAAAAGATAGTAAGCATATAGTAGACCTGCATACTAGATTCCAAATAGTACAGCAAAGCATTTTTTGGTGCTGTCTTCGTTTGTTTCCTCTTTGCTGGGAATACGATTCCTTGTCCTTACCGCTTCCTTAATTTAACTCTATAAAATTCTAAATGACTCTCCTAGAATAAAGATGGCCTGGCACATGGCAGGTGCTCAATAAATATTAATTGGGTGAATGCATGAAGTGGTACAGGTGTCATAGAGTCTAACAGCAGACCCCCAACTAAACACATAGTGACTTGATGTATTTTCTATTTTGCAGAAAAAAACATGTGCCTTACAGTATAAGCACTTGCATATTAATTAAAACATTATTTCATAATCGGCCATCTTTCTAGGTGCTTGGTGATGTCTGAATGTGGCTTGAGGCAAGTTCAGCTGCTTTTTTTTTTTTTTCCATCTGGGATAAGGAAAAAGGTGGTTGTAATTAGGTTGTGAAAAATATAGCAGAATGTACAAGACTTCTGCTTTTGTAAGAACATGCGGTTTGAGGACTTGCCTGATTTTCTTATTTTTTTCTTTAGTTAAAACATTTTACATACATTATATAAACAGTACATGGTACATTCTTGTTTTAAGATACTGAAATGATACAAACATATTCTTAAACTGAAAGGCCCCCTTGCCTCTGCTTGTCCCCCTACCGGAGAGGACATTCTGAAGGTGTTGGATGGGTATTCCCAACCCCTTTGCCATGACTTTGCCATGTAGAGACGCATGCATGTAAGTTTGTTGTTGTCATTTTATCATGGGGATTTTACAAAATGGGTTTCTATAAAATAGATTGTTGTGTAAATTTTTTTTTCATTTAGCATTTCTTGGAAACAGTTCACAACAAAATTTTGACACTCTCTCAAAGTATATCATTAATAAGCAGAGGGTTTTATCGACACTGTTCAAAGTCTCAATCCCCACCACCAACGCAGTGCCTGCCAAGGGTTTTGATCGAACTCAGTGTATATTTTATCTCATTGCTACCAGCACACACAGGCAGTTTAACCAGGTGTGCAAGTCATGCAATAGTCTTGGTTTGGGAGAATAGAATCCTTTAGAAAACTACCCTAACCCTATCTGATAAAAGCCCAATGCCGTCAAGTGTCTTTGACTCCCCTTCTTTCCTAAAATGGATGTGGATGAAATGTATCACAATCATGTGATAATGCAGAAAGTTACAGGTTAAAACTATAAAGTTTTAATCCAAAAACACATCTGTGATGTCATTGTTTTTAAGTAGGCAACCTTGTTTTAGTTTCAGGGGGAAAAGAAAAGGACCCATAGTCTCTTAATTTCTTGGGGAAACATTCTGCTTTATACAAATAGTGCCCTCTAGCTGTGTGAGTCAGGGCTTGGCTTGCATCCAGCTTTCTGACATCCTTGTCATACACAACTTTAAAACTCTGGGTCTCAATCGACATGTAATTATAAATTCTACTGGAGCATAGTATAGCTCTACCGCTTTCTTATTAAAGGTGACAGCTTGTCTTCCTAAACTTCCAAGGGCAGAGATTGCAGATTTGCTTTATGTGATTAGAATGTTCCATGTTTACCATGGGGTACTCAATAAAGACTTGGTGAGATAACATTTGTTGAGTGATAAGAATAGTAGAGTAGGTGAAGCTGGCTTTCACTTCTGCATCTGTCCTGAGTGACGTGTACAGGTCCTGCACTCTTCCTCTTTTTCTTCTTTGCGTTATTTCTCTATAAATTGAGAGGTTTGGCCCCTATTTAAGGTCCCATCATGTGTAAGCAGTATCAAAGTCTATATGACTTTTCAGGCTTGGAGCCTTACCTAAAATCAAGATCTGTGCTGAATCTTTTATTTTTATTTTTTAATGTTTATGTATTTCTGAGAGAGAGACAGACAGACAGAGAGACAGAGAGAGAGAGAGAGAGAGAGAGAGAGAGAAAGCAGGGAAAGAGCAGAGAGAGAGGGAGACACAGAATCTGAAGCAGGTTCCAGGCTGTGAGCTGTCAGCACAGAGCCCAATGTGGGGCTCAAATTCATGAACCATGAGATCATGACCTGAGCTGAAGTCAGATGCTTAAATGACTGAGCCACCTAGGTGCCCCTGTGATGAATCTTTTAAAAACATCCCAGCAGAGAACAAAAACAGAGCGAGTTCCAGCTCACTAACATCTCCTTATAATCGATTTCAGTTAGTAAATAGACCAAATCCAGCAAAAAAGATTGTCAGACTGGAGAAGTTTGACTTTCAAAGATACCTGCCACTATTCTTATGTAAGAGTGTGGCAAAGAGATGAATGGATGCTGGGAGAAAGTTGTCTGTACCCATAAAAACCTTTGAGGGAGGATTAGTAACAACATCAGGGGAGCTGGAAAACTACCTCTTAACTTGTCCGAATGTTAAGTCCTCTAGAAACCAGAAGTATCACATGGGGTATTAGGACAGTGATGACTGAGCCAACAGGAATTAGGGGAAACTTGCATAAAACTGGACAAATATTTGGAGCTTTGGGGAGGTAGATTCTTAGTTAAATAGGATCATGGACTTGTATGTCTGAGTTGTTTACACTTTTCCTGCACAACGTCAGCCAGAAAAAGAGTGTACCTTTGGAGGAAGCCATATTTATTTAAGCTTGTTTGAAAACTGTGTGACCTTAGAGTCAACACATATTTTTGCCGAGCCTCTCCTTGTCTGTGAAATGGATATGATATGATATTATGAAAATGGGAGTATGTGTGTCTAGAGCATTGTTATGTTAGCCCTTTGGCTTCTTGACTTCTGTGATTTGTAAAATAAAAATACTTGTAAATTGTAAAAGATAACTAGTTGTGTAAGTGTAATGTTCATAAAGGAGGAGCTTAGTATTGGCTTCGGACTTTTGCAGGTTTCGTGATGGTCTCTCCTGGGCTTACGGGGCACCTGGTTGGCTCTGTCGGTAGAGTATGCAACTCTTAATCTTGGGGGTGCAAGTTTGATCCCAATGTTGGGTGTGATATTACTTAAAAATAAAAAAGAAGCTATTGGGGTTACAAAGGTTAGCAGGTAAAAATGGTTTAATTTGGTTGGCATTTTGTGAGGCTTGGGGTGGAAGGGTGTGCTCACTTGGGGAAGGTGGGGAAGTGGGGAAGGTGGGCAGCTTTCAGAGTCTGGACTTTGGCATTGGGAAGCCATTGAATGCTTTTATGGTAGAGCAGATACTTGATTAGATTATTTTTTGAAATATTTATTTTTTATTTTGAAAGAGAGAGAGCATGCACAAACAAGGGAGGGGCAGAAATAGGGAGAAAGAGAGGATTCCAAGCAGACTCCACCCTGTCAAGCATAGGGGTGGACATTGTGCTCTGTCCCATGAACCATGAGATCAGGACCTGAGCCGAAATCAAGAGCTGGACGCTCAACCAACTGAGCGACCCAGCCCCTGATTAGGTTATTTAGAGAGAGATGTGGGAGGAGATTAAAAAAAAAAAAAAAGCCATACTCCACTGTGGAGTCTCCTATTCCTCCCCCGTAGCCTGTGCCTGCAGGTAGCTGGAGAATAGCATCAGCCTCTTGGGCTGCTCTCACTTTCATGACCCCTACCTTCAGTGGCACTTTAATGCTGCCTGATGGTCCTATATTAGTCCCATTTTCTCTTGCTGATGTGCTCCCCTGGTCATGTCTAAAACAAAATCCCCTAATTAGGCACTGGATTTTATTCCTCTGTTACTCCACAAATCTTTCCTCTCTTAAATCAATTTTTATTTCTCCTCTGGATCATCTCCGGATCATACAAACATACTGCTATTTTGATCATCTTAAAAAATCTTTCTCTTGACCCTACTCTCCAACTCCATTTCCCATTTATTTTTCCCTATAAAACTCCTTTAAAGAGTGCCTGTCTCCAATTTCTCTCTTGATTTTCCCTTTCTTTGTAAACATTTCTTTCTGAAGTGTAATGTACATAGGGAAAGTAAATAATCACTTAAGTACTCTTCACCACAACTGCTTTTGTCAAGGTCATTAGGTTGAACAGTCCTTTAGACAAATCTCATTCCTTGCCTTTGCAACATTTGATTCATGATGATCGCCTCTTCAGTGGACAAATTTGTTTTACGTGACTTCCAGAATCCCATTTACTTTTTTCTTTTCCTCTTACCTCCTTGGTCTGCTTCTGTTTGTGTGCTGGCATCTCTTCTATTTCAACCATCTGTGGGATGCCCCCGAGCCTAGTCCTTAGCCACAAGCATTCTTTTTGATTGAATATCTCTAGGTTCATGATTTGAAAATTCCATTTCTATACCAGTGACTCCCAAATATTTATCTTTGTTTTAAATTTTTTTTTAAATATTTATTCATTTGTGAGAGACAGAGAGAGAGACAGACAGACAGAGCATAAGCAGGGGAAGAGCAGAGAGAGAGGAAGACACAGAATCTGAAACAGGCTCTAGGCTCTGAGCTGTTAGCACAGATCCCGATGCGGGGTTCGAACCCACCATCCATGAGATCATGACGGGAGCTGAAGTCAGACGCTTAACTGACTGAGCCACCCTGGCACCCCCCAAATACTTATCTTTATTCTAGATCTCTCTCCTGAACTTCAACAGCCTCCACCTGAAACCCAACACTTTCAAAATCCAGACTATTTCCTCCCAAATCTGTGTCACATGCAGCTTCCCTATCTCAGGTGGTGGCACTTCCAGTTCTTCCAGTTGTTTCAGGCCAAAATCCCCTGGAGTCATGTTTAAGCTCCTGCACCTCATATCCTGTAGAAAATCCTGGTTGCTCTACTGTGTAAACATCCAGAGCCTGAACTGCCCACTACCATCCCTTCCCGTCTTCTGACATACCGCACTCCTGACAGGTCTTCATGCTTCTCAACCCAGCAGCTACAGAGTCCTTATCAAAGGTAAGCCTGGTCTTGTCACTTCTATGCACCTGCAGTGGTGCTCCTTCTCGGGTAAACAGCTGGGAATTCATGTCTGGTCCCTGAACATTGTTGCCCATTGAACCTTAACCCTCAACTTGAGATGTATCTTTCAAGGGGTCACAAATTTGGCACTAAAGAGTAGTGATTCATGGAGGTTATGCAGGTCAAATTAAACAAACAAACAAACAAACAAACAAACCACTATGCTGTTTGGGAGCCTTTACGACACAATAGAGGCTGTCATAGGAGATGGACTTGCTAGAAAATTCAGTCCTACAAAATTATACTTAATCAACATCTCAGAGCCTTGGTTTTATGTCCCTGTTCTGGCTCTTGCTCATTATTTATTCCACTTAAAACACCCTCTGCTCCTTCCCCCATTTTCCAATGATGAATCTCACATGTCACTTTTTTAAGGGATTTTTCTGCCACTCCCTGCATCACCTCCCCACCCTCCCCTGTCAATTAATGATCTCCCTCCCTACCTTCATGCTTCCATTACTTTATTTAATCAATGCTAATTGGCTCCCTTACAATGTTTCAGGAGTATAACAGAGAAAAAAATGGAGGAGCTCTATCTTAGAGGAGTTTATGGTCTAGAATTGAGTACTTTTCAAGACCATAGCCATGTGTGGCTATTTAAATTTAAGTTAATTAAATAAAATTAAGTTAATTATTTTTAACTTCTAAGTTGTACTAGTTTCATTTCAAGTGCTCAGTAGTCAGATGTGGCTAACATCTACTATATTGCACAACATCCATATGCTATAATAACTCCGTCATCATGGAAAGTTCTAATGAACAGTACAAGGGAAAGTACACACAGTACAATGCACACACAATCAAGGGCAACAAGGTAAGAAACGCTGCACAGAGAACTGAAATAGTGTAATAGAGTGATGGGTTGGCTACTTTAGACAGAGGGACCAGAAGAATGTCTGAGAAGGTGACAGTTAAACAAGGGCCCAAAAGACAAAGAGAAATCTGAAACTGGTGGTGTAAAGGAATGGAGATCTAGGCAGAGGGTACCACTAGGGAAAAAGTCCTAATATGGGGATACATTTGAAAGAACCCCAAATGTCTGGAGCCCTGTGGCAGGGGAGAGAGACATAGAAGAAATTTGAGAGGTAGGCAGGATCCAGATAACTGGGGGGGATTTTGTAAATCTGGGTAAGACGTTAGGGTGTTTTCTTACTTTTTGTTGTTTTCTGAGAGAGCCGTGGGAACATCGTGAGGGGAAGAGTGACACAATCTGATTATATATTTACCAATTACATCATTCTGCCTGATTTTATTAGTTGCTTACTTACCTGTCTCTCCACCTGATTGCACAACCCTGGGTTTTTTCATTCTTAGTATATTAAGTCATGCGGCATTAGCCTCAATATATTGATAGCAAATGTGGTATGATTGAATTAAATTAGAAAAATCCTTACCATTGACCTTCTGGGCTTTGACTAAGTCTCGGAGTATGACAAAACTAGTCATAAAATATTTTGCCTCCCAAATAAATATAAGGCACGACCTACTTCTTTGTGAGGCATTTCAGAATGTGTTCCCCCACTTTTGCTGGTGGTCAACGTGGGGTCAATAGTGTTCCCTTTAAGTGGAGAATAAGAGGAGGATGGGAATCCAGAAAGGAGATTTTCCCTTGTGAGAACTCATCTTGTTACCCAATTGAATTCAAGTGTGTGGCATCGTAAAGCTAGGAGGACTAATAAAGGTCATATACTCCAATTGTTGGATGGAAGAGGTGAGTTTCAGCAAATAGGCCAGGGGGACAGCCAGTGTGAAGGCCCAGTGACAGGAAAGAGCTTGTATTCATGAAGGTGGAGTAGAGTCTAAGACAGGGGCCCCCTCCAGACACAGAAGCACCCCACACCCCCAACAAGGCTGGAGCAGGAGCAGGCTGGAGAGGGCACACTCTAAGGGGACTGGGTGCTACAGGCCATTGCTGGCCATCTAATTGTATTTCATAACAAAGCAGAAAAACTGAGTTCTCATGTGGGCTCTCTAGATTTCTAAATGGTGGCCATTAATTAAAAATGAATTTTTTTAAGGATTAGTTTTTAACGTAATCTCTATGCCTACGTGGGGTTTGAAACTCACCACCCCAAGATCAAGAGTTGCATGCTCTACCAACTGAGGCAGCCAGGTGCCCCCAAGAAAAGAATTTTTGAACACTGTGGTACAAAGCACTTCTGTGGGCCAAATATAGTCTTTAGGCCACCAGTTTGTAGTATTAGGCTTTAGGTCTTTTTTCCAAGCACAGAGACTGCTGGAGTCAGGAGTTCACATTCCCGAGCAGCACAGGACCCGTTGCCACTGTTTTCATGTCTCCGTGAAGCCTGTGATGGGCTGCAAGTAGCCTAGAAATGGAGCATCAGTACCCTCCTGAGGGAAGTTACTGAATCTTTAGATCAGAGGACAGTTAATGAAGTACTAGGCAGGCTGACACATACTTGTATGGCTTAATGATTAAGTGCAAAAGTCGGAAGAGCTTGTCTGGAACCTTGGCTCACTTAACATCTACAAGCCTCAGTTTCCTCTTCTATGAAATGAGGTTAATAGCAGGACCTGCCGAAGGAGGTCTTTGAGGACTAAGTGGATGTGTGTGTTTGGCATAGAGCCCACCACACAGTAAGTTTTCCAAAAACCTTGGTTAGCATTAATGCATATTTACATTTCATTTTCAAAGGTCTCCCATATCGCTTTTGCTAACAATTCTTTGAGGGAGACACAGCAAGTACTTTTAGTGCTATGTTACAAATGAGGAAGTCAAGGCTTGGAAGAGATCAGTAACTCATGGACATACCCAGCTTTGCAAGTGACAGAGCTGGGATCTAAACCCAAGTCTGGTCCAGAATCTACTTCCTGAAATACTTTCTGACATCACTCAGTGAGATGTGGTCTGAGTCATTGCTTCCTGTAACATGGTCAGGCACGGTGATTTACATTTTTGATTAATTCTTGCCACTGGTAAACTTGACAGTATAAGGCTGGGGACTGATCATTGTAGCCACAGAGCAGGGAGTTCTCTGCACTCATTAAAGGGCCAGTTGACTCATCTCCGAGGCCAAGGGTAAGTGAAGACCAATCTTGGTTGTGATGGTCCCCTCACTGAGCCTGACTCTGGTTTCCTTTCTGTTTGCCCCTGTATCCCCTGTGTCAGCATCAGGAGTCAGTTTGGACTCTGTGGGGAAGGAGCTGGGAAACAAGGGGCTGACCTGAGGACAGCTTTGCCTGTCTATTGGAAGGTGCAGGATGGTCACACTAGAGATAACTGATATGTGAAGCTGTTGTGCATGGTCTGTCCTCACTGACGGGGCAGGCTCATGTGATCCACCCACTCAGGGTGAAAGGAGAAGTTGCAGTCTGAGAATTAAGACTTGTTCCGAGACCATCTGGTGAGGGGCACACCTACCAGTCTGCTTTCTCTTTCCTTCAGGCCAATACCATCATGCAGCCTTGGGTAGCCATCTTCAGCCCCATACTACTTCTGACAGGTAAGCGAACAGGTGGGCCGGGGTCTGGAAGCCCTGAAGATTGGGACACGTAGGAGACGTGTGAGTGTGGTGTAGGAAGATGGATGTGCTTGGGCTTTGGTGAAAGGTAATGGGTCAGTTAGTGGCCAAAGAACCACGCTAAATCTTACGCAAAAGAAATTGCTTAAATGCTATGACTTACAAAATCCATGGGTGAGTGAGCCAGACCCAATGCAGAACTGTGTATCATATCTTGTCATTTGTGTTTAAACAATAAAAGGGACGAGTGGACAGCAGTGTCAGCATGGACTACTCAAGTGTATGTAGGATGTAGTAACAGTGTTGCCATGAGCAGGAGGGGATGGGGAGAAGCTGGGATTAGATGGAAAGGGAACCAGTCCTCTATTGAACCATCCTGTGTCATTTGATTTTTTAAAAATGCTGTGCAACTATTTCTTTTAAAAGACTCTTAAATACAGAGAACAAACTGAGGGTTGATGGGGGGAGTGGAGGACAGGAGAAAATGGGTGATGGGCACTGAGGAGGGCACGTGTTGGGATGAGCACTGGGTGTTGTATGTAAGCGATGAATCACGGGAATCTACCCCCCCAAATCAAGAGGACACTATATACACTGTATGTTAACCAACCTAAAAATAAATTATATTAAAAAAAAAAAACAGAATAAAAGCATCCTTCAAAAGTTAAAAATAAATAAATAAAATAAACAAATAAATAAATAAAATGCTTTATAGGGTTTGAGGACATGATTATACTTAGTCATGAAATAGAGTATTCCTTTTAAATCAGAATTGGAATAAGCATGTTTATAAGTGATAAGAGAATTTAGTGATATAACTGAATGTCAACTCAACGTATAGGGGTGCTCTGGTGGCTCAGTGGGTTGAGTGGCCGACTCTTGATTTCTGCACAGGTCATGATCTCAGGGTTCGTGGGATTGAGCACCATGTCAGATTCCCAGAGTCTGCTTGGGATTCTCTTTCTCCATCTCTCTGCATGCACGCATGTGCACTCTCTCTCAAAATGAAATAAATAAACATTTTAAAAAAATAAAAAATAAAAAAATAAAAAATATAAAAAATATTTTATTTCAAAACACTCCATGAGATAGCAAAGTTAGGAATAGATATAATGCATACATTTTAAAAACAATAATCTCCAGAAGTCAGATTATGAAGGAAAGTTCATTTATTATAACTTATATAACTTGATTTTTATAATTAGCATGTATTATATTTATAATCTAAAAATGATACTAGGCAAAACTAAATATTCTAAGAATTCAGTGCCTTTTTCTTATTTTATATAACCATGAACATTTTATTCCCAGAGCATTTCCCAAAGTCATAGCCAAAATTGTAAATGTGATTGGTTGGTGAATTTCAGATTTCTTTTCATGGCCACCTTGTCTGAATTTGGCACGATAGGGCTTTTATGCCACTGCCCCAGGAGAGACTTCTTGGTTTTGTTTTTTAAGTGTCATAATTTAGTACTTGGTTGAGTGTTTTCCAACTGTCTGTTTTCACAGGGGAAGTGGGCCTCGCTCAGTTGTGGGGCTGCTAACAACATGTGAGAAGGGGTCCCTATTGGATTTTTTTAGACTGATCTTAAAGCCCATGATAAACCTCAGCTCCTCCTAGAAGTATTAGAAACCCATTTCCTAAATTTTTTAAAAATTTTTATTTATTTATTTTCAGAGAGAGAGAGAGAGAGAGAGAGAGAGAGATCATGGAGGAGGGGTGGAGAAAGAGGGATAGAGAGAAAATCCCAAGCAGACTCCATGTGTGTGGAACCCCATGTGGGGCTCAAACTCACAAACTTTGAGATCATGACCCGAGCAGAAATCAAGAGTCAGACGCGTAACTGACTGAGCCACCCAGGCACCCCAGTCAATAATACTTTAAACAAAACATTAGTTCTGCTTTTATTTATTTATTTTTTTAGCATTTATTTATTTTGAGATATAGAGAGTGGGGGGAGGGAGCAGGGGCAGAGAGAGGGAGAGAGAGAATCCCAAGCAGGCTCCACGCTATCAGAGCAGAGCCTGACACGGGGCTGAAACTCACAAACTGTGAGATAATGACCTGACCCGAAATCAAGAGTCAGACACTTAACCCACTGAGGTAGGTAGGTGCCCCAAGCTCTGCTTTTCTTATAAGAGAGGTGCTGTGAGGGGACATCACTTGCAATAGAAGTTTAAAAAGCTGCAATAAAAATTAAAACTTTAAATGCAATAGAATTTTTCAAACATATTTCAATTGAGACAGCAAATGAATCTGGGGAAGTGGAAAAGCCACATGTATGTCAAACACAGGATGAAATACATACTCATGTATTACTGGAGTGTCATTTGGTTTGAACCTTTTGGAAAGAAATTTGGTCATGTTCATCAAGAGAGTGAAAGTATTCCTGGTAATTTCTCTCTTTGACATCTGTCCTGTTAGAAAATAATCCTTAATACAGAAAAAAAGCTTTAATTATATCTTATCTACAAATATCATATAAATAATGCTTTTAAGAAAATGTTAACATAAAAAAAATTTTTTTTATGTTAATTTTGAGACAGAGAGAGACAGAGCATGAACAGGGGAGGGTCAGAGACAGAGGGAGACACAGAATCCAAAGCAGGCTCCAGGCTCTGAGCTGTCAGCACAGAGCCCGATGCAGGGGGCTTGAACTCACAAACCCACAAACTGTGAGATCCTGACCTGATCCGGAAGTCAGACACTTAACTGACTGAGCCACCCAGGCGCCCCAAGAATATGTTAACATAAAAAAGGAGTATGTTAACATAAAAATGCTTACAATGAATTTTTTTTAATTGAAGATACAAATCCATATGATTGCAAATGAAATAAACTACATTGAAAAGAAAACAGTGAAAATAAATATAAAACTGAAATATTGAGGCCTTATACTCTTCTTTCTCTTTACTTACAGATGCTGTAGTGTCTCACAAACAAGTGAATGGAGTGGTAGGCCTTCCTGCCACGCTGTCCTGCGCTTACTCGACAGCTAAGGGAGTCACCACCATGTGCTGGGGCAGAGGGGCATGTCCTGTGTCCCAGTGCTCAGATGTAATCATCTGGACTAATGGATCCCACGTCACTTTTCGGAAGCACCCACGTTATAAGCTAAAGGGAAACCTTTTAGAAGGGAATGTGTCTTTGACCATAGAGAACGTGGCTCAGACTGACAGTGGCATATACTGTTGTCGTGTTGAACACAGCGGGTGGTTCAATGACATGAAACTCACCCTGTCATTAGAGATAAAGCCAGGTGAGCTTGTTTTCCTTCTTCCTTTGATCGCTTCATGTGAGTTGGCTGAGATGTTGACTCTTTGGTAGTGTTTTTCTCCTTTAAGAGGGCAAGAGGAGGTTCCTACAGTCTTGTTTTTCAGCAACTGTTGGAAAATAGAATGACTTTTATTTGTATAAAACGAAGTCTTAGACCAATCTTGATTCAAGACGGTAAGCTAGAGGATCTTCCCAGTCAGCAAACTGTTCCCTAAAGCAGTGCTTCAAAAATGCTAGTTGGTTCATGAAAAAGCATTCACTGTTCCACTGTGAAATATAGTAAACATTTTTATCAAGCTGAATTTATTCAACTTAAAGAACGGCCCTTGTTCTCTGAGATTATGTTTTAGAGGAATTTTTAAATGTTCTTAGCATTTTTAAAACTATTTCGGAGCATTTCAAACATATAAAGTAGGTAATATGGTATAAGGTCTTATCATAATAGTAACACCCAGCTATAACAATTGTCAACTCAATCTTGTTGCATATCTTGTTATTAAGGAATATATAGTTCCTTCCTTCAGCCCTGCCTGGGAATTTTTGTAGCATATTTCACATCATATTGCAAAACTGCTTCTTTAAAAACAAAAATGACCTTATTGCAATATGAAAGCACTTATATTCCAATAACGACACACCAGTTGCTTTTAAGAATTTCATGAAATCCAGGGGCCCCTGGGTGACTCATTCGGTTAAGTGTCCGGCTTCAGCTCAGGTCGTGATCTCATAGTTTGTGAGTTCGAGCCCCGCGTTGGGCTCTGTGCTGACAGCTTGGACCCTAGAGCCTGCTTCAGTTTCTGTGTCTCCCTCTCTCTCTGCCCCTCCCCTGCTCATGCTCATGCTCTGTCTGTTAAACATAAATAAAGGTTAAAAAAATAAGAAAAAAAAAAAGAATTTCATGAAATCCAAAAATCTGTCTTGATGTGAACATCCTCATTTTCTTTACCACTGGATGAACAGAGTGGATTCCTCAGGATTCCCTGGTTTCTGGTGTTCTTTCCTAATGAAGTTCCTTCCACTAAACTCTTATATTGACAATAGAACCCAATACCTGTGGCCTTAATAAACTCTCTCTCTCTCTCTCTCTGTCTTAAATTAAGAGGAACTTGGTCTTGCAATCTACCAACTTTTGGACTTGGCCTGTTCCTTTTGTGAAGGCAAGTGGGATAAGGTCAATTCTGATGGAGAAAATAGCTGACTCTGGGGAAACTACATCTGGGAAGCAATTTAAGGAAGCCCAAGAATGCTGGTGACTGTAGTGTGCTCTAGACAGAAGTGAGGAGGCAGCATGTCCAGAAGAGATGATGATTGTAACTTTTTTGTATTTGTGAAATTTTTTATGGTTTGGTTGAATTTTTTATGGTTTGGTTGTATGGTTTGAAGCTGATAAAGTGCTTCAAAATTCTTTAATAGGTGGGCATTTACAAGGGCAGTGCTCTGTCAAGTGGGAAGAAGGTTCATAACTGAGCCAAAGTGACTCTGCCTCCAATAACTAACTCTTTGCTAAAGTTGTCTTACATTTTTCATAGGCTGAGCTTACTCTTCAAGCTTCTGTTAGGGATTTTTTTCCCACACCAGCATCTATAGTTATAGTTTCCTAGATTCTGCCCGGGAAAAATATTTACCACTGAAGAAGTCAAGTTCATTAGACAATTCCAGCAGGTCACCTCCTCTTTATTGTTTCCCTTATTCTCCTTTGCTTAGATTTTTTGCATACTCAGCATACTTGGTTTTAGCTGGAAGGAGGGGACTGGACTGTATTCTTTTCGGAAGCCTCTGACTACACCTTAGATCAGGGTCAGTAAACTATAGTTCCAGAACTAGATCAGATAACAAAACAGGGTCATTGTTTTATAAATTTTTATTAGAACAGCCATACACATTTGATATATATATTGTCTATGGCTGCCTTTCACTGACAGAGTTGAGCAACTGTGCCTGGGACTATAGGGTGTCCAAAGACTGAGGCATTTACTATCTGACCCTTCCCAGAAAGTTTGCTGACCTCTACTTTAGACTAATGATTCGCATTTAATAGACACTCACAAATATTTGTTGAAAAAAGTTTTTCCTCTTCAGATTCTAAATTAAGTTAGATCTTTCAGAAGAGTTTTCAAACCAATTGTCCCCTATATAAGTGAAATGGGTTTTCCTTTGCAGTTAGTCAAGTTGAAATTGAAGGAAACTTCTCATGGAGAAAAACGGTGCCTAGTGAGATCAAAAGTTTACATTCTTCATTCAGTCCTTGTTGGGGCTTAATTCCGGTTTCAGTTCTCTCTGGGTACTTCTGTGACCTTCATTAAGTGGTTTGGAATCCTACCCCACTTCTGACTCCAGAAAGAGTCTATGTTATTAGCTATTGTTATTATCTCTTAGGTAGAAAGGAACCATAAAACATCTAGTTTACCTTCTAACCAAATATATAAATAATCTGTGTGATTTATCTAGCTAATACACTAATGGATGTGAGTTAGCCCTCATTTAGGTTGCATGTGCCTCTATTGGCACGGTACCCTCAGGACTGATGGAACTGAATGCTATTTATTTGGTAAGCATTCTGGGCCTGGGAAATCCTGTTGAAGTCTTAGTCATTCACCACTGAGATGATGAAGACAGCTCCAGGCTCTAGACGTTTTCCTTAACTCACAGGTGTTTATGAAGATACATAAATCTGATATGCATGACTGGTCTCAAAGTGCTTCAGTGCAAATCCCAGGTGTCATTTTTCACCTCGGAACCTCCCCAAATATATATCTTTTAATGCAGCTGTTTCCTTTTCACCAGTATGTCTTCAAGCCCTCCTGTGTCACAGATTCTAGTTGACCAATGACAAGAACTCTGAGTTCAGGGAAAATTGGTGCCTAATTCTGCCTGGGGACAGTTTCTCATTGGTTGCATTGGTACATGGGCCCAACCCAAGGCTCTTGTTTCCTGCTGCTTGACTAATCCTTGCTTTCATATTGATTTCTAACTCCAGCTGTGGTCACCAGTGTTCCAACATCACCTAGGGCCTTTACCTCTACTTCTTCAATGCCAGCACCCACGCAGAACCTCAAGCCAGGTAAACAAATGTGTTTCTTGAGCCCTGAGGTCTTCTAATGAGAGGATGTAGACCATCCAGGGCATTATGTTAAAGCAGAAGTACAATCTAGGCTGAGTGTTCTTACCTGGGTTCCAAACATGGGCTTCACAGGGTCTGTGAATACCTGTCCCAAAATGTATGCACCTTTTAACATGTAATCATTTTTATTTATTTATTTATTTATTTATTTAAAAATTTTTTTCAACTTTTTTATTTATTTTTGGGACAGAGAGAGACAGAGCATGAACGGGGGAGGGGCAGAGAGAGAGGGAGACACAGAATTGGAAACAGGCTCCAGGCTCCGAGCCATCAGCCCAGAGCCTGACTCGGGGCTCGAACTCACGGACCGCGAGATCGTGACCTGGCTGAAGTCGGACGCTTAACCGACTGCGCCACCCAGGCGCCCCAACATGTAATCATTTTTAGAGAAAGGAGACTCATAGCTTTTGGTCAGATTATCCAATGCATTCATTATTAGCACCCACCCGGCCACC